AAGTTATTATTTGGACTAAACTGTTTTAGATTAAGTAAAAAAAGGTGTTTTATTTGGATGTTATTTACTGTGTACATATTATATTTATTGCTAATCATCTTCGTTTCAAAAATTATTTCACTATACGATAAACGATAAAACACCTTTTTGCAAAAAAACCAATAGGTTGGTTTACCATTTAACAGGTAGTAATATTCTAGAATGACTTTTAAAGTGACAATAATTCGAGTTATATACTAGTAGTGTTGGAATTTCATTCCAATTCCAAATAGAGCTACAACTTTGCATAAATCTCAAAAAATACATTCGATCAATTTATCATTTTGTTTCCTTTCTTTGTTATTTTCATTTTGTTAAATTCTTGTTTAAAAAGTAGTTTTTATTTTAGTAGTTTGCAATACGTATACTTCTTTATTAATAATAAAAGTATGTACCTTGAATCATTGTCATGTTTCTAATATCCTTAAATTTAGATATAAAAATTAAGAGACAAACTTATTTTGAAATAACAGAAACCGGTATGTTACCAAAAATATTGATAAAAATTTAAATTCAATAATTCTTGTTGATATTTTGCTAAAAAGAAAATGTATATCTTTGGGATTAAGAAAGAGATTGATAGTATTAATATAAAGGGTGATTGATTAGTATGATAAAGCTCAGTAGATGCGCTATAATAAAAATTGTAGTGAACTTTGAGGATCACATTCTAAAATTAGTTAGAATGCTATAGAGTGTTCGATAACATAGTGGCAGACCAAACTTATATGATTTTTTAAATAAAACACTCTCTATTTTATTTTATATTCGAAATCGTCTTCTCGTCTCCATCACAGCAATATAAAGTTTTGCTGTGTAATACATGATATTTATAAAGTTATAACCAATTTTCTGTGAAAATCGTAACAAATTCAACTCCCTGTATAATTAAAAAAAAATACTATAACAATGATCTATTGTTGCCATATTTTTTTTATTGTCAAAATTTTCAAAAATGATTGATATTACTATTTTCTTTAAATCGAATACAGGGTGAGTCAAAACGCATGGACATGATTTTCTCAGTAATTTTAAATAAAACGCCCTGTGTTTTATGTCACTATCAGAGAATAATAAGAGTACCATTAAAATACTTTAATTTTTGTTTAATATTGCCTATATCTAAATTAATTAGTTTTAGAGATATTTTCATTTTTTAAAGCAAATAAATAACTAGGTGTCTAAATTTCTACAAATTTTATGTAAAACATGATTGAATTGTCCAAAACTGAGAGTTCATCATTATTGTTTGTTTATAAACGTACTAAATAGTTTTAGTGAATTTAAATGAATTTTCCTGTTGAAGACATGGTAGACATGATCTGGATATTGGGGGAATTTAATAAACATGCGTTATTATCAGTAAAACATTATCATAAACCGTTTCCTGAGAGGCGACAGCCTACAACAGCAAGCTTTGAAAGATTGAAGGATCTGTTTAACTACACTAGTTCAGTTATGTAAGAAAAACAATCTTCTTCTTCAGCCTTTAGTAATCCAACTTTGGACATAGGCCTGCCTCAAATCAAATCAGTGTTTTTATTTTGCGCAACTTGCTTCCAGTTGTGTCCTTCGATCTAACCATGGTCTCCATTGTAATGTATTTCGTGGTTCCATATTTTATCCTTCAGTCGGGCATTGTGTTTTAACATTTTATTTTAATTTTAAACAGCATTTTAGTGCTTTTCAAGATCCAACTCAGTTTTCCAAGTACTGCCCACGTTAACCCTATTCTTCTGGTAATTTCGGCAGTTTCATTTTCTTTGTTAACTTTCATTATCTGTCAAAGGTTACTTGCTGTTTCTAAATTTAGGTCGTTCAACGTTATTTCTCTAATGTTCGGTGTATTCGTCATTATTTTTGTTTCTTCTAAGTTCATCTTAAGACCTACTTTTTCCGAAGGTTGAAATAGTTGCGTCATCATGATCTGTAGTTCTTCGACACTTGTAGCGAATATTACAATGTCATTAGCGTATCTCAAATGACTCAGATGTCTTCCATTAACATGTATTTCTTTATCTGCCCAGTTAATGTCTTTGAACACGTCTTCCAGTCCAAGTGTGAATAGCTTTGGTGAGATAACATCTTCCTGGCGAAGTCCTCTGTTGATTGGTATAGCTTTGGTTTTCGCATCTATTTGTATTTTCATTGTAGCTTTCTTGTAAATATTATATGTGAGCTTTCTGTATTGCGAATCTATCCTGCAGTTGTTCATAGCTCTCTCTATTGCCCAAAGTTCTATGAAGTCAAATGCCTTTTTATTATCAACGAAGCGAATGTAAAAGTTCTATTTATTGGCTTTATCTATTAGAGTTCTGACTGTAAGAAGATACTAAGCTGCACTGTAAGGCCGTCCACACATGGGTCGATCGAAGGCACGCGTCTAAGTTCATGCGTCGTGCTCGTCTTATACGAACCCTGCTGCACATGCAATTGTTCACCGCACACTAGTCGATTCAGTTTGTTGTTTGCTCACATCTGCCAACCAAGAAGAACGCATTTTTTATATATCCATATTGGCATATTCTTTCATTGTATAATTATACAATTGAGGGTATTTTTACATTTCCCCAACGAATTTTATATTAAACACCTAGAAACAGAAATTCAATGTTTTCAGAATTTTATATTACAAACAATATATTTCTACAAAGCTAGTAGTACTACAAACAGCGAACATAATATTCGTCGATCTTTAAAAAAATTATTTTAGGGCAAAAAACAATAAAAAACGAAGAAAGCAAATACAATAATCTTATCTCCATGGCTGAAAACGTGCATCTCACTCGAACTTTCTCGTGCGCTACCGATCGCAAATGACGAGAGTCGTACAAGACGAGGAGATTTGCAATTCTAGACGACCTCTAAACGCCCCGTCTGCTGAGCTCAATACAACAACGAAGGAACTTGGGCAGTGGGGAGAGACCTCATAACTAAACATGCATAAAAGAATTAGAGAATTAACAGGAATGAGAAAAACAGTTCAAACTATGCAACTAAGAGATGAAAGTGGGGCACTTATAACAGATATAAACCAAAAAATGCAGAGATGGACACAATATATAGCACAACTTTTTAAAGACAAAGAGAGAACAGAAGCACCAAAAGAATTTAAGGGTGATACTGGCCCTGACATTATACGAGAAGAAATTGAATATGCAATGAAACAAACTAAAGGTGGTAAATCTCCCGGGCCTGATGAAGTTCCTATCAAATTACTCAAAATTATGAATACTGAATATATTGATCTTATTTTTTATCTATTCAATACCATATATAGAACAGGTATAATACCTAAAAAATGGCTCCAATCAACATTCATACTGCTTCCCAAAAAAGTCAATGCAAAGGAGTGCAATGAACATCACACGATAGCCTTAATGAGTCATGTCTTGAAATTGTTTTTAAAAGTAATTCACAACAGAATACATAAGAAATTAGATGAAGGTATACCTAATACACAAATGAGATTTAAGAAAGGACTGGGAACACGAGATGCACTGTTTGCAGTAAGTGTTCTTTCGCAGAGATGCTTAGATATATATCAGGAAGTATATGGCTGTTTCATTGATTTTGAGAAGGCATACGACAGAGTGTAGCATAATCGGCTTTTAAAGAAATTTTATTAAATAAAAACATAGACAGTAAAGACATTAGAATCATACGTAAAACTGACCGAGGATATCCAGATTCGCCGTGAGGTCCACCAAAGGTGTATTTTATCACCCTTGTTATTCAATTTATACAGTGAAACCATCTCTGAATTAGCCCTTGCCGAGGTCAGTGAGGGCCTTATAATAAACGGTGAGCTACTTAATATCATAAGATATGCCGACGACACCGTCCTTCTGGCAGGAACACTAGAAGAACTGCAACACCTTGCTGAATAACTAAATTTATATTGCAACCATTATGGACTAAAAATAAATTTGAAGAAAACCAATTTCATGATATTTACAAAAGCACAAAACATCAAAGTTAAGCTAGTACTAGATAATACAGAAATTGAATAAATATCTTCGTACAAATACCTTGGAGCATGGATTACAGAAGATACTGATCAGACAAAAGATATAAGATGCTGCATTGAAATTGCACGGTCATCTTTTAATATAATGAGAAAACTTTTTTGTAATCGCGATATCAATATATCGCTCCGGATAAGAATGCTTCGATGTTATATTTTTTCTACCCTTTTGTATGTGGTTGAAGCTTGGGCACTTAAATCCAACATTAAAAATCTAGAAGCATTCGAAATGTGGTGTTACCGACGTATTTTGAAAATATCATGAATGGATCGCAAAACAAACGAACAAGTTCTCGAACAACTAGGAAAACAATGTGAAGTTTGAAATTCCATTAAAATCAGGAAATTGGAATACTTGGGGCACATCATGAGAGGTGAAAAATACGAACTACTAAGGAATATAATGCAGGGTAAAATCAAAGGCAGCAGAAGCGTAGTAAGACGTAAAATCTCGTGGCTACGCAATTTCCGTGAATGGTTTGGTTGCAGTTCAATTGAACTATTCAGGCGCGTAACCAAAAAATTTATAATTGCCAGAATTATTTCCAATCTACGATGGGAGCAGAACTTAAAGAAAAAGAATTAGTCTTCGCCTGGTTTGATCTTTTACTTGGTAATAATATGTAGATTTTAAGTATTTGAATGTTTGGAAAGTATTATGTTCCTTTTCTGTTTCACATGTGGACTGTTCCATGTTTCCATTCCACGTTTACACGTTTTTTTAAGTTTTATAAATATAAATATAATATAAAAGTACCACCACATGTTCTCTTTTATTAAACAGTGGACACGTGAATAATGAATAATTAAACTTAGATATAAGAAAGTTATTTCAAAATATATGTCTTTTTTAAAAATTTAATTTTTTGAATATTTTTGTTATTGATAAAATATGGTCAATTCAAAGTTATTAACTGATTTTTTTATTGTTTAGGGATAGCTGTTTTACCGACAAAGTTTTTAGAGGGTGTGTGGAAAGCTTACTTGAAGATTGGCCGCAACTGGAAAAAATGGTAGAATACGTCGGAAAGTGAGCTTTTTGCCCTTAAACGCCCAGTGTCCTGTTAATCTAGTCGATGAATGTATCACCAATAGGCGATTAATAATTTAATTTAATTTGACAGCATTTGTGAATTATCTCTTTTTGCTGTAACTGGTCTTACATTTTATTTATTTATTTATTTTAAAATATTTTTAGGTATGCCCGATGAGCCTCATATTCTCTAATATTTAATCCACCAGTTAGAGCAGAAAGATTCATTTTAAAATATAAAATTATTCTTAAGTGTATTTCTCTTAAATTGAAGAAATACTGGTTAAAAATATCGTACGCTTTTACAGTTTAATTTATGGTTATATCAACATTTAAATACAAAAAATTGTGCTGTCCTATATTATCAAAAGGTTACATTATCTGTACATGGAGCTGTTTAATTGTCCTTCCCCTCACTTTTTGTACATCACCGTACCACAGAGAGGTTATCAGAAGTGATTCACTATAATATGCACTTCTTCCTCTTCGTATAATAAGTTTTCCTTATTCTGTATGCATTCATCTTTCAAGCCTAGTTATTTTTTCTAAAAATATAAGTATAATTTTTTCCACTTTGTCAATTTTGATATTTATTAATTTGTGTGAGATTTAAAAAGAGTACATTAAAATAATAATCATTGTGGAATACATAAGTGTCGCATAATTGCTATAATTTCATAATTAAAACAAACTCATGCTAATTTAGGCTTTATTCTCCATAGGCCAAACAGCTCTCATATTCATTTACGATGTTCCAATCACAGTTCCAATAGCCGGTACTATTAGAACCGTTTAGGCGATCATTTAAACGAGTATTTACTTCAATTTTTATATTTATAGATCATTCAATGTTATATATTTTTACATTAGGATAGATGATAATTTTGTGACATTCGAAAACAGCGTAATTATTTAAGGAGGCTGGTGAAAGTTAAGCATTTCTCTCATGGTGTATTTATATTTAAAATTAATTTATTTACTTTTGTTGAGATTATTTTTATTAAGTTAAGTATTTGTGTCCAGTTGTAGAAGAAAAATATATCGATTTCCATAGATTCAGTACAACCCTTTAACTAACATTAAAAATAATTAAACAAGATTCATACATGTTTTATGAAATTAATTAGTTCCGATATATTTTCCTTCTGAATGTTTATTTTAACATTCCAATATCAGTATTGTACTTTTAGAACTTATTGTTACTGTACTACTTTTTATACACACACCCGGTGCCTAGAAGTATTTAAATATTTTTTAATATTTGTGTTTGTTTCAATTGAAAATAAGTACAAAATAGGTTTTGAAGAAGAAACCTATGCGCATTTAAAAACTTGATAGTATTTAGGTGGAACTATACAGAAAAAAAAATAGTTCAAAACAGAAACTAAAAAATATATATTTTTGACAATCTTGACATCCTAAGTTCTATTTTATTAATTTATATTTAACTGAATATTTCCACCTTACATAGTAGCAAATTCTCATGTACATCTTTGTTTCACGATTTCACTATTTATTCCTTACTATTTGTATTGTTATTCTGAGCTTTTGGGAGTAGAATTCAAGTACATTTATAATTCATTGTAAATTTTTATTCCATATGTTCATGGCAGCTTCTAGTAAATAGTCTACTAGTCGATTAAATTAATTTGAAAATGATATGGTTTTTTATTTATAATTACCGCTTTTCCTCCAAAAATATGTACTAAATGTCTTGTCAATATCAAGTTACACAGTATTATATAAAAATGACCTTCGAATTAAAACAAATCTATATTATAAACAGCAGGCGCACGTACGCATTAATGAACACACATCAGAAGAGTTCGAAGTTAAAACAGGAGTGCGACAGGGGTGTGTATTGTCACCACTACTATTCAATGCATACTCTGAAGAAATTATGAAAAGAGCTCTTGAGGGTGAAACAGCAGGAATTAAGGTCAATGTAACACCAATTTACAACATTAGATATGCAGACGATACTATCATAATAGCAGACAACCTCCAAGACCTCCAAAAGCTAATGAACAAGAGAGTTGAGTATGGAGAAGAATATGGATTATCAATAAACACCAAGAAAACCAAATTTATGAGTATATCAAAAACCCAAAATAATAGTGAAAACCTGACAATTAACGGTAGTGCTTTAGAACAAGTTGAAAACTACCACTTTCTTGGCACAAAAATTAATCACACAAACGATTACTTACTCCAAAGAAATCAAGGTTGAATAGAGAAATCACGGACAAACTTCAATAAAATGAGAAAGGTACTCTGTGCAAGAGAACTAAAATTGGACTTGAGAGTTAGGCTGGCAAGGTGTTATATGTTCTCGACTCTGCTTTATGGGATGGAAGCATGGACACTTAACGCGTCGACTGCTAAAAAGTTGGAAGCATTTGAAACGTGGGTGTATAGAAGAATCCTGAAGATATCGTGGACCAAGCATGTAACAAACAACGAAGTCATGAGAAGAATCAACAAAAGAATGGAAGTATTGGAAACCATCAAGACACGAAAGCTGCAATACCTGGGGCATGTTAATTTAAGAAAAAGTTTTAGTGTATGGCTCATTAGACTTATTAGCCTATATTCTCAGTACTTTTTCGCCCCCTGTTACTTTGGTAACGTAATACATTTTGAAACTAGCCAATCTTTTGGAATATTGCTTGTGCCATATACATTAAGTCCAGTTCTTTTTGTTTGGCTTTTCTGATCTTTCTCTGTATGTCTCCTAATGTTTTAAACATAGAGTTATTACTATGTATTTAAATGGAAATAAGCCACAATTAAAGGTGAAAGTAAGTTTATTGACATTTAAATTTCCACTTCGGAAATCGTTCTCAAGATACAAACATTAATAAATTAAACAAATTTTGTTTTTTAATTTGTTTAATTTTTTAATGTTTGTATTTTGAGAACGATTTCTGAAGTAGAAATTGAAACGTCAATAAACTTACTTTCACCTTTAATTGTGGCTTATTCCCATTTAAATAGTAATTTAAAATGCCACAAGAAACTAGCTTCAGAACAATATAGAGTTATTATTCTTAAAAATTAAGAATTAAATCCTTTGTTATTCATAAAATTGTCTTTAATTTCGTTTATTGTTTTATTAAGGAATTCTATCTTCCTTTCTGTGCTTTTCGTTGTATTATCGATTTCTTTTAATTTTATATTTATTGTTTTGTCTATTTCTTCTCCTTCACTGCATTTCAGTTTTCTCATGTCATGTTTTTTACAGTGTTTCCGCGTGTTTTCTTTAACTTGGTTCTATACACGCCCACTAAAGGATTGTGGTCAGATTAAATATCAGATCCTGGGTAGGTTTAACACTGTTAAAACTATTTTGATATCTTTTGGTAACAAGTATATAGTCTATTTGGTTTCTTATAATAACGTCTCCTCAGTAGTCTCTAGGTGATTTCTACGTATACAGGCGTCTAGGTGGTAGTTTGTAAAATATGATTAGCTGCAAAGATATGAGAGATTAATAAGATGTAACACTTTTTATTAAATTAAAATGAAATATAAAATATAATAAACATTTATTTAGTAAAACAGTTTTACACATGATTCAGTATAGAATTTCGTATATAGTACAGTCTAGCACATTATTAGAATAGTTCATCACGTAATATTTTTATGAAAAACTGTTTCATATTCTAATATCTGAGTTTAGATCCTATTAGATATCCTTCATACCAAACTCATATGCACAGCGATGAAATATGTGAAAGATCAAAAGCCAATCTAATATATGTATAATATTCACTTTTTCTTTTTACTCCTTCTGACTCTTTTGTACCTTAAAAGTTCTCCATCAAAACTCTGGGGAAGTGCTCCAAATAAATCTTCATGAGACATATTGATTAATTCCCTCGGTTTTTTGTTATTCTCTTCTTTAAAAATTCGCCTTCGAGATCTCGAATGAGGTACCATACTTCTCTGTCTAATTGCATATAATTGTCTTCTCGCTACATCATTTTCATCTGCAGATAGCAGATCGTTTAAATTATCACGTTTAGTCCTTGAAGTGTCAATGGGTTCTAGCTTATACATTTCTGGTTCCAAGTCTACAAGATATTCTCCATTTTGAAAAGGTTTTTCATTAACATATTTTCTAGGCTTGATTGCTCTTTTTTGAATTTCTTCAGAATTAGAGTAGTCAATATAATTGCCTTCAGCTACGTCTTCATTTGAACTAAAATTAGTTAGATCTTGATCATTAAAACCGGCATTTTCTTCGTTCGAAGGCTCTTTATAATCATAATAACTTTCATAATCATCTTGAATTGATGGTATAGTATTTACCACGTTATTTTTGCATTTACAATTCTTTCCGTTTTTATCGCAAGTACATGATTGTTTTACGGATTTCTTACTTAAATATTTAGTTTCATCAGTATTATCACTGTCATCATACACAAGGTTTGAATTTTCGTTATAGCATTTGCAGTTTTTTCCATTTTTGTCGCAGGTACATGATGGACTTATTGATTTCTTATTTACATATTTGTCGTCATTATCTTCGTTCTCATCATAAGAAAAATTCTGTTCACTGTTATCGCATTTACAATTATTGCCATCCTTATCACAAGTGCATTGTTTTAGTATAGACTTCTTTACTATAGTTTTTGAATCCATGTCTTGTTTATCGTTATTATAGTCATCATCAATGTTGGTTAATTTTCTACTGGAATCATTAGGACATTCGCAATATTTGGTATTTCTATCACATAAGCATCCATCTTTGTTAAAAATGTCACTAGTAAAGTCATTCCTACGGTCAACTAAAACAAATTTTTAATATTAAATATAATAAATATAATAAATATTTGAAGATTCTATATTTGAAATGTGAAAATGAATAAACAAATAATACTTAATAAATGACTAAATGTTTCTGAAAAACCATGATAAAAACGTAAAATTATGTTCGAATGAGGCAAATCGAGAACATTCGTAGACAAAATAAATTAGCAAATAAAATGTCTTTTCGCGACACTCTGATACAGGTATCTAACAAAAAAATTTCGCATACAAATTTTGCAATTTATTATAATTTTTTTTTTAATTAATTAATTAAAATCTTGCACAACAAAAACTAGACCATATATAAGTTTTGCCAATTTGTTTAACTATAAAAACGTACTTAATCTATCCAACGTACTTTACGGAATTGAAATCGAATTGAAGAGCTTATTGCAACATAATGGTAAGCCACAATGTTATAGTATTTTATTTTATTCCATTATTTATACAGATCACGACATTGTTTTATTGAACATAGAACACAATGGCAATCGCTGTAACATGTTACACGTTTCCACCTCTATATTCACTTCACAGTAGGTACGAATTGTAATTGTTACATTTACATTAAAAATTTCAAACGAAGTTCTGAAAGAATAAACAAATAATTAACAAAATGCCTATTACGTTGTATACCGTCCAAGAAAAAGTGCAACTTGTAACATAGTACTTTCATGGTCATCCGATACGTGATAAGTAATTGATTAATTTATTGTTGCCTTCGAAAATAGACCCCCATCAAGTGTTACAACAGTTAAAAATACCATTAAACATTTTTAAACTTCGGGATGTGTAAATAGTTGTAAAAAGTGTCATGAAGGTAATGAACCATTGGTTAGACCTGTTGATGAGGAGCGTCAAAACAGGGATATTGATATTTGTGCTTTTGTGGAAGCTAGTGAACTCTCTAATGCCGGGTCCAGACCAAGCAGACAAAACGAAAACACAATTCTGAAACAAAAACACGATAAACCGGCGACAAAATTTGTCGTCAAAAGACAAAAAAAAATTGAGACAAACTGTCCACACCAGAACAACAAAATATAAACGACAACAAAACGTGACGTTGTTGTTTGTGATTAGTGTTGGTTAACCATGTGGCGTTTTAATCAAGAAAAAAATGAAACTGAAGATTTATTGCTAGCCGCAAGTTGTTTTTTTTTTTTTGCTCTCATCATCATCCCAGGTTGCTAAACGAAAACCCAAACGTTTTTGGATTAGACCAAGCCTAAAAATGCGAGAAAGTTGTTCGATAGACAAATTGTTAGTTCAGCTGCGCGCAGATGATATTGGACTAAGTGGTGAAATTCGATCAAGCTTCAAAAATTTTTTAAGAATGTCCACCGAAGATTTTGAGAATCTAATATGCCTTGTTGGTCCTGCAGTTGCAAAAAGATATTACTAACTTTAGAAATGCTATAAGTGTAACAGAACGGTTAGCAATCACTTTAATATTTTAGCAACAGGTGATTCCTACCACAGCCTAAAGTATCTTTCAAAAGTATCAAAGCAATCAATATCTGTAATAATACCTGAAGTAGGTAAAGCTTTAATTAACAGTCTTAGTGGTTATGTACAGGTATGTTAAACTTTTTTCATTACTATTTTTCTGTTAATATCCCTTAAAATAAACTCTATATTTATTGGTTAAATGTTTAATATAAAAGAAATTGACGATAGGTACATACAACATACAAAATAATGACGAGTCTACTTGCTTTTACATTCAAAAAGTTCATCATCAATTTCGATCGTTTTCTTGATCTGAATACTGAGAAAGCTCTGTGTCAATACTAGGTGGATGTGAAAATAAAGGTTGTGTGTTGGTGCTTGGTGGATTTAAGTATGCATTTTGTGGGTCAGCGCTGGGTGGATTTGAGTATGAATGTTGCGTGTTGGGTGGATTTGAGTATAAATGTGTATCAATGCTGGGAGGAGTTGAGTATGAACGTGTGTCAATGCTGGGAGGATTTGAGTATGAATGTTGTGTGTCAGTGCTGGGTGAAGTTGAGTGTACATTTGTGTTGAGACTAAGTGGATTTGAGCACGAAGAACCAGAAAATCCTGTGGGAAACTGAATAAATTCTTCCATTTGGCGTTGTATCTGGAATAGTGGTGGCTTATTGGGTTCATTATACTTGCCCATTTCAGCGTCATATAATAGATTGTGAATTAGATGTTCTACTGTGGACTGGGCATAGGGTGTGAGAAGAAATTTCCTTTAATGCATCGGCTTTCTTGTAGCGATTTTTATAATCTTTATTTTTAGGGTCCCATAATATCGGATGCTCCCTGTAAAGTTCTATTAACTTGCATGTATTTTGTGTATTCCACTTTTTGTCCCCCGACATGTTTAGAAAAATACACTAGTATTTATTTAATCACTACACAACAGAAAAATACACTTGATTTTGATAAAAATTGTACATTCTATTTCTCCTACTGCTTAACTCGTTTTGGCACGCACACGCGTCCACACTGCGTCGACAACTTGTCGTCAAAAACACAGACAAAGCACAGACCTTTTGATCTTTACCGACCTGAGACGGGACCTAAAAAAGTTTTCAAATCTGCAAACAAAACAAAATTGTTTCAGAAATGTCTCAACAATGTTTTCGATTTGTCGCCATTTTGTCGCGAAACATGAATGTTTTTGTTTTGTCTGCTTGGTCTGGACCCGGCATAATAGTGTACAAATTGCTAGGGAAAGTAACGTGAATGCTTGAACTGTTCAGCGAGTTCTCAAAAGGAATGAGTATCACTGTTTTAAAATACAGACAACACAAGAACTGTTTGCGGAAGATAACTTTAGGTGCATGGAGTTTTGTGAATTTATGTTAGATAAACAGAATGAAAATGTACACTTTTTAAAAAATATTTTATTTTCTGGCGAATCTTCATTTTCATTACATAAAAAACACAATCCATCCGTTGCAAGGTGTTATTCTCGGAAAAATAAGCACCTCAGTGTTGCAGTGCGAATGCAGCATCCGCAAAAGTTAAATGTTTGGACTGGGATCTTAGTCGACCATATTGTCGGTCCAATTTTTATCGATGGAAACCTAAACGGGCCCAAATATTTACAAGTTTAACAGAATGAGATCATTTGATGGTACACAAGGCAAATATCGAACACAGTATTTAATTAAATCTTGCCCAAGTACTTTCGATCACAAGATCATCCTCAGGGGCATTTCGTCAATTGTGGCCTATCCAGCAATAACCGAATGTCATAAATGTAAACTGGGACATAACAAATACACTAAAGACAAACAAACACTTTAAAATTTAAATTGGAGAAGCTACATTTTTATATTATAGAAGCCGGAGACAGAATGGCTCCCAGCCTGGCGGAGGCGGAAATATTGGGGTGGGGGGTGGGGTAAATATTCACTCCAATATTTCTGCCTCCACCAGGCTGGGAGCCATTCTGTCTCCGGCTTCTATAATATAAAAATGTAGCTTCTCCAATTTAAATTTTAAAGTGTTTGTTTGTCTTTAGTGTATTTGTTATGTCCCAGTTTACATTTATGACATTCGGTTATTGCTGGATAGGCCACAATTGACGAAATGCCCCTGAGGATGATCTTGTGATCGAAAGTACTTGGGCAAGATTTAATTAAATACTGTGTTCGATATTTGCCTTGTGTACCATCAAAGTTCATTTATTCGAACATTCAACCTTATATTTAAGAATGAGATCATTCCGGCAGTTCGACGCCTTCCCGTTAATTTTCAGGAGGTTTATTTCCAACAGGATGGGTGTTCGGCTTAAAACTCTAGGGCAACTATTGACTTCGTCAATCAAACGTTTCCTGATCGACTGATAAGTACACGTGGTACAATTAAATGGCCTGCTAGATCCTGTAACTTAGCGCCTAAAGATTTCTTTTTGTGGGGTTTTCTCAAAGAAAACATTTACAGGCATCAGTTTGAAATTACCACAAACCTAGTCGAATAAAGGGCAAAAATACTTCATTTCTCTGCAAGCATCACACCAGGCCCAGGTTAACTACATTATTGAATTTACACATAACTTGTGCTGATGCAATGCAAACTTTGTAATCTTCTTGACTTTATTATCTTTATGTCTCTTTAGTTTCAACGAGAGAGGTATAATTTGGTGCATCCTGGGGAAGAAATTGCAAAACGGTTGCTGCGTGCTCTCGAAGAGACACAACTAAGGAAGTTTCCATTTCTTTCTCATTTCAGCCATTTACTCTAGTCGAAGCTTTGAATTGAAACCGATAAGTTTCCCATACTGTTTGGTCATCGGCGGTGGGTAGTTTTAATAAAATTTTGCTATTTCTAATTGTACTGAGTTCAACTTTTTTTCTTCTAAAAATTTAAATCGTTTTGTTGTTTTAAATAGTTTTTGTGCTTCTAAAATGTCTATTCTACTTGTAATTCGACTTACTTTTAACTGAAAATTTTCGTGAATTTTTGAGATAACTAGTAACGATTTCTATCTCTACTATTCTACGCCTCTCCTTCTCTTTTTTTTCTCTTTTTGTCTACGCTTCTTTTTCAACTCTTTCTTTTCTTGCCCATGCTTCTCCTTTTTCTCTTTCTCTTCTTGTCTACGCTTCTTCCTTTCCTCTTTCATTTTTAAAAGCTATGCATGGACGTATCTATTTTTTTAACAATTTTTAATTAGATATATTGATTCTATAAAACCGGAACCGAAGGATTACAATCAAACATTTTTGCGAATTGCGTAACACATTAACAATAGAACCGCCAGACCTGTCTCTCGTAGATCTCCTGGCGAGCACAATGCAATGCATAACACAAAACGATCAAATGACGGCTCTTGTCAAAGCCAGTTGACAATCGGACCAACGATTCGAGTATGCCAATTGAACATTGAAGGTATCAGCCGAAGCAAGAGCGAGTATCTTGGTGAGCTCCTGGCAAAGAATAAGATTGACGTGGTTACCGTACAAGAAACACATACTGCAGACGACACACAATTAAA